TATGGTGCTATCTGGAAGTGCTTCATGGACAAATCTCACCGTCTTGTTGTCAAATGCATTTGTAATGAGTCTATAAATGTGCTTGGTGGTAGAGATTTCTTGATGTCTTAAATCATGTCCTGACAAGGACAATATGTGAATAGATATTTTTTGTAATACCACTTTCCTTTCCTCATGGCCTTTCCCCTTTTCTATTAAGAATAAGAGGCCACACTCTTAGGAGCAGCAGCAATGTGCACTCTGCCCATCTTTCGGACGACTGTACGGACATAATCTCACTGTACTTCGGTGTAATGATAATAAAGCTTATTCTGATTCTGATAATTTAATAAATGTTCACAGTCAAACTTCCCTTTCTTATAAAGGTTTTGTCAGAATGGAACATTATATTTGATATCATCTGTTTATTTTCTGTTTTCTTTGTGTTTTGTCTGTATTCCCCTTCCTATCCTTGTGTATTTGTCTCTGTGCCATTGTTCATCTTCTCCTCAGCCAGTCACTTATCACTCACACCTGTTTGCAATCATTAGTAATTAGTAATTATCCCAGGTGCATTTCATTTCTCACTTTCCCTCCAATTTACTTTAACCACTCCTGATCACAGCTCCACGTCGGCTCATTATTCTGTAAAGACGTCTTGGTCCTCTTTGTGTTTCCATCATTTGTTGTGGTCCTGTTACCTCTCTGTTAATAAAAGTTTTTGCTGCCTCTTCAGCCTTTTGTTTTGTTTATTAATAATAAATTCCATCTTTTATGTTTACTTCTTGCTATCCATGTCTGCCTGCATTTGGGTCTGACTTCACCAACTGTGATAATTGTATTATTCATTTTGTCAAAAGATAAAATGCTAATGCCTCTTACAACTTTGACAGAAAAGTCAATTATTTGATCATAAAGATATCAGCCGCATCCGCATGTCTGCAGGTGTGGCTCCCAGCCTCAGTATGAGTGCACAATGTTGTGCTGAATGTCCTTTTTACCACTGTCCATTTTCAATGAATAATTGTCTTTAAATGATCATCAGTAATAATTCTCCCCAGCAATCTGTCTGTTGCCATTTTAAGATTTCTGATCTTGAATACTCCAGATACATCCATCCATCCATCCATCCATCCATTTTCTTTACCCGTTTATTCCATTTTGGGTCACGGGGGTCGCTGGTGCCCATGTCCAGCAATCACTGTGCGAGGGGCGGGGTACACCCTGGACGGGTCGCAAGTCCATCACAGGGCCACATAGAGACAAACGAGACAAACAACCATTCACTCTCTCTCTCACACCTAGGGACAATTTAGAGTTTCCAATCAGCCTAACATGCATGTTTTTGGTCTGTGGGAGGAAACCGGAGTACCTGGAGAAAACCCACGCATGCACGGAGAGAACATGCAAACTCCACCCAGAAAGGCTCCTGGACCAGGGTTTGAACCAGGAACCTGTTCGCTGAGAGGCAGCAGTTCTACCAGTTGCGCCACCGTGCTGCCCCACTCCAGATACAGGTAAGTAAAAAAATAAATAAATAAAATAAAATCTCGGCACCATAACTTTAATAAATCCAGTCACCATAAATCTAAATAAAACCAGTTTATTAACTTGTCAAACTGTTTCTACCAGATTATTAATCAATTTACAGTAATGTACTTTGTTTTTCCTTCTGTACCTAAGAGGCTTTGCGTATGGTACCTTGAAATGCTGCATTGTATCATTTGTCTGCACCTTTTACATATATTTATTTGCACCCCGAGGTACATTAATTGTAAATTTTTATAATTTTTTAATCTCAGAGACAACATTGAAAATGTCAAAAAACAAATGAACTGTAACTTTAAAGTCAGAATGTGTTTTGTTGTTTATTTAAACTTCATGTTGGTACGGAATGGGAAAAAAAAAAAACAAGCAAACAAAAAAACAATTATGATCACCAAAATTAGGTAATTTATAACTTTCAACTACCAGCAAGCACAAGGAACATACTAGGTAAGAAGAAATGTATTAACATAAAACACTCAGTTTCATATATTGTAAACATATAAATACTGTAGTTTACATTTTTATATCAGTAAAAGCATTGATATTATTCAAACAAAAATGAATTGTATTGAAGTTATATTCTGGCTTTCAACTTCATGTTAATTCTCTGTACAGAATTGAAAAAACAGTTTTTATTATCATAAAAGCATGTTTATAACATTTGAATAACACATACAATCAACGTCTTATACATGGAGAACTGTTTAGTTAACATAGAACTGTTGATCCGGTATGCAATCAACTTTTTTAAAGACAATCAATTTCTTGGTTATTTATTAATTCAGACACTAATTTGTTACAGTTTATCAGTCGAGGAGGACAGAACACATCTAATACACATTTTGTGGGTTTTCAATCGAACTGAAAATTTACTTGGGGAATTCTGTTTTTCAGTTTTCGTATGTAAATTTCTCCCTTTTGCAAAGCAAATAAACAGCTTATAAATATATAACTTATAAATTATTCTGTTAGACAAAACATTTTGTTAAACACGTTAGTGAAAACAACAACAAAAATGCATTAATGAGTGTCTACTGAAGTAAACGGTTATTTTCTGGCCTTTCTTGTGAAGGTTTGTTTTCTGATCCTGATAATGAATAAAAATAGAAGCACTAATCATTTAATTTTTAACTGTAAAGCACATCTGACTTAACAGTGAAGTTTAATCCAGTCAGGACAGTGCTCAAGTAATGCAGTGGAAGAACGTGACCAAGCATGATGCACACACTTTTATAGATCAGAACCTTATAAACAATTTGAAAATTGTTATATATTCAATCTGATTCAGTTTATTGATATAGAACCAAGTCACAATATAAGTCACATCAGGTCACTGAACAGAAACATTCATATATATAAAAATAAGTTAACACTATTTATCTGAGGAGCAGACTTCTTTGAGTTTAACTCCATCACATAACTCTCATCCTGAGCAAGCATGAAGGCGACAGTGGAAAGGAAAAACTCCCACATGAAGAAGAAACCTTTAGCAGAACCAGGCTCAGGACAAGCAGCCATCTGCTTTGACCGGCTGGGTTTGAGAGGAACAGGAAGGAGGAACAGATACACAATGGCAGGTCAAGAATCACGTTAGAAATAGTATCAAATGACAACGATTCAGTTTTAGCAAATCATTTAAGGAAATGAGGTCAATTTGTCCTCCAGTAGTCTAAGGCTATAGCAGCATAACAAGCCAACCCTAACTATAGGATTTATCAAAAAGGAAAGTCTTAAGCCCAGTCTTAAAACTGGACAATGTGTCAGCCTCACAAATTGTGAATGCGTTTTTTTTTTTCCAAGAAATGCAGAGTTGTTGGAGGCATCTTCAAACTTATCTCAAAGGAGCTAGAGCTGTATTTTGACACCTGCATGGTTCTCATGTTATTAATTTTTGAACTGAATTGCATGTTAGGCTGATTGGTGACTCTAAATTGTCCCTAGGTGTGAGTGAGAGAGTGAATGATTATTTGTCTTGTTTGTCTCTGTGTGTCCCTGTGATGGACTAGAGACCTGCCCAGGGTGTACCCCGCCTCTTGCACAGTGATAACTGGACATGGGCACCAGTGAACCCCACAACCTGAAAAAGGAAGAAGTGGGTAAAGATAATGGATGGATGGATGGATTGGATGGATGAATGGATGGATGGATATTGGTTATCGCCATTAGCTTACCCTTTCAATATCAGTATTGAAGATAGCCAAAATTTCCATATCGATCAATGTAATTGTCTCCATAAGTCACAGTCCAGTAAGATATTGTCTTTATTGTTTGTACATACATTTCCTACTACTATGCCTCAACAATTTCACGTTAGCATAGTACTGGTTTTACATATTCATTCCTAGCCATGCTTTTATTTTATTCATACTCTAATTTCATTTTTAAGTTAGGAGGGAGCTGGTATGTGAATAAGTGTGAGAGGTGAGGCAAATTCCAAACTGTTTGACTGTCCATCACAGGGTCAACACAAAGACAACCAAACATGAACACTCACACCTACAAAGTAGTATCAAGTTACTCTAGACTTGCCAGTTAACCTAACATACATGTTTTATGTATTAACAAGAAAATGGAGGACCTGAATGCAAACCACACTTGCATGACGAGAACATGCAAACTTTTCTTTGAAATGCTTCAGTTGAGTTTTTGAACTTCTTCTTGTGTGAAAACAGCATAACCAGTTTCACATGTACCAACTCACTGTCTCTTACATAAACATGAGCAAAAATACAGTTTTTTAAATCCAATATGGAATATTTACAATGTGCTCAAAAGGCTTCACTTTGGCTTTTATGTTTGGTTTAGATTTCATTGTTTTATCAAGGATGATGTTCTACTTATTTGTGCAGAGGGGGCAAGACTTTGATATGAGGTGCCGTGTAGGACATAATTAGTATTGTCTCTCACACACACTAGTATTCTCTCTCACACCTCATACTTTAACCTGCACTGAAACCAGCCTAGAGAGAAGCTGGTCCTGTTCAGACCTAATTTTGTATGTTACCCTTGGACATCTAGATTTAAAGTTACCAATGACACATAAATGATGCATGGAAACTTTTGCACAGCTGTGGTTTGACTCTCAAACGATGGTGTGAATACTGGGGGGCTTTTCTTCCTGTTTAACTTCTTGCTTTTATCCTTAAGAAGCTGACCTTTAACTTATTTTTTTCATGTTTAGAAAAAGTCAAAAATAAATAAAATTAAAACTTACTCTGAAATTATTATGATTGATGGTATTATCAGAACACGTCGCAGAAGTACTTTAAGGACAGGGATGGAAACAAAATTAAATCTGCTCATTCTTGTTTCGAACTTCATGCCCAACTGATGATGACCTTTGAAATGTTGACTATGATTATTTTTTATTAACTTACTTTTTATGTATATGCATGTTTCTGTTCAGTGCACTGAGACGGCTTCTGTTGTGACTTGGCGCTATATAAATAAATAAACTGAATTGAATTGAAATTTTAAACATTAAAAAAATTAAAAAATAAAATTCTGATATTAAGTTTGTCCCAGAATTAATTCAAAATACAAATAAAGCAAAAAAAGGTATAACATAAACATTGAACTATGAGAATTTATTTATTTATTTAACCACTTATTTAAAGGAGGAAGTGGGTAAAAATAATGGATGGATGGATATTTTAAAACTCTTCATTCATTCATTCATTCATTCATTCATTCATTCATTCATTCATTCATTTACTTATTTACTTATTTATTTAAAGGAAGAAGCTGGTAAAGCTCATGGATAGATGGATGGATGGATTTATTTATTTATGCATTTTACTTTACTTATTTTTTTCTCTATATAGTTAACCTCTGAAGACTGTGGTCCTTTCACACATTTTGAATTCATTTGAAATATATAAAAGGAGTTCTGAGTAAACACTTCCAGTGGTTGATTTCAGGGCGGAGAAATGGCCCACCACAGCTTCTGTCACTCAGTGTGTCTCTACATGCTTTGTTTGTTGTTCACTCGTTTTCTATGAGACAAGAGACGGAGAATGTTATTCACCTGAGAAAGTCAAATTCATATTACTGCGGGGCTTGAAAAAATATGATCTGATCAAAATAAAAGGAGAGACTAATGTCTGAGTTGTGGGATTTTGAAACTGTCAAAACCTTTTTTATTTTTGTTTGTTTGTTCATTTGTTTTTACTGGACTTACACACCCATGAGCCAGCTGTTTGTCAAAGGGTTGCCCAAATACAAAGCACATCTGGCTGATTTCAGCTTGTTTTGGAAAATAATTTACTAAATGTATTTATAAAATGAGCAACAGTCTATAATAACGAAGGCTTAAAATTAAAATTATTTGTCCATAAATCCTGTGGGAAAATAATACCTGCATGAAGACATCATTTTGAAAGTAGTCAACTTCTAAAGAACTTTATTGAGTGTCTAGTTTCTTCTTTCAGCTAGACCCCCCCCCCCCCCCCTCACCACACACACACACGCACACACACCCTTGGTGTGTGAGTTCATGGTTATTTGTCTCTGACTCCTCATCACCCAGTGACAGATGGGATGCGTTCCAGCATCCTCCGCAGCCATCTAGACAACATGAGTGAGTGAAGCTCCGCCCCCTGCAGACCACTAGTAATATTTCTGCTTTAGAATGTGCCTTGCACCATGTAGTATGCTTTGACCTCTGGAAGATTAACAACCTTATTGCTCCAACTTTAAATTCATAGAACTGTCAAAATGTTAAGCAGAAGGGTTGCTGCAAATAAATGTATTGGTTTTGTTTATTTTTATCTAAATCAAACTTCTACACATCTAAGTTCCCAGCAGACTAAGGTCTGAGAAGGTGGACTTGTCATCGGACGGTCGCCGGTTCAACTCCCCAGACGACAACATTGAAATGTGGGTGGGAAAGGTGAAACAACACCTGCCTCCACCTTCATTTGCCGCATTCTGGGCCTTGAGCAAGGCGATTGACCCCCACCATCTGCTCCCCTGGGTGCCCTAGATAGTGGCTCTCTGCTCCACAGAAAGGGCTGTGGTAGCTCAGTGGTCTGTGGTTGCATCAAGATGGACATCCAGCGTAAAATAATTTAAGTCTTCTTGCAAATTAGATCACTGTGGCGACCCCTGAAGAAGGGAGCAGCCAAAAGAAGAAAGAAAGAGAATGCCACAAAAGGATAATAGCTGTCTATGATCTTTATTTGTATTTTTGTTAATTTGCAAACTATATTTCATATATATATATATATATATATATATATATATATATATTTTTTTTTTTTTTTACAAAACATCTTCTGTTTTATAAGGAAAGGTGCAATACAGCACACATAATAAATATCTGGTCAACCTATTTTAAATTTAAATAGCTGGAGTGATTGTCAGGTGTTTAGGCCTGCAGTCTTTAACACTTTTTGATTACTATGAAAATGTCTGAACAGTAGAAATGTAATGTTATCATTCTTTCTTCTAATATAATTCCATATTTTTTTGTCTGGTTCAAACCCTTCATGCTGCCCAGAAAATATGATATTAATTTAAAAGATTTAAAAGATTTAGCTCCAACCTTTTTCACGTATGTCATCATTCAGCTGCTGGCTGTCCAGGCCGTGTCCTGAAAACAATGTGGGCTACGTAGATAACTGGAGTGCTTTTTGGGGCAAACCTGGTCTGATGTGGAGAGATGGCATCCATCCCACTTTGGGTGGAGCTGCTTTTCTTTCTAGAAATTTGGCCAATTTTGTTAGTCAACCAAATGATTGACAACCCGGTCCAGTCCAGGAAGCAGAGTTTTTTTGTGTTAAACATCCCTCTGTTGCTTTTCCTCTGTTACCCACCTAAACCCCCAATGAAAGAGCAAGCTTGCCCAAAGCCAAAATTAAATTGTCCATGAGACTGATACATTACAACTAGGCTTAAGTCTTTCCTTTTTTATAAATCCTTTAGATAAAGTTAGCGTGGGTTTCCTTAGCCATCCTTTAGTTAAGCTTCTATAGGCTTAGACGCTGGAGGACAAATTGACCACATTTCCTTACTCTGCTGCTCTCTTTACTTGCTCTACTCTCCCGGTTTGTATTTGTAATTATTTCTATCCTTAACATATTGTTAGGTATTTCTCCCGTACCTAGAAAAATAAAGAACCACACAGGACAACAGAGTAAGATTTTCAGCGAAGCGTTTTGCAAAAAGGGAAATTCACAGTTGCAACACTAGGGCTGGTTTCTGGGAACTCCGAAGGTTTTCCACATCTGCTCGCCTTTTTATTGTTCACACAGGAAGGAGGAAAAGACTGGACATCTTGATTAGGCAGATTACAACGAGGGCAAATTGACCTCAGAACATTTTGATTAAATGCTTAAGAGAAACAAAGACGGTATAAGATTGATGGGATATGAGTTGATATGTATAACCTTGACATTTCTGGTTTTACAAAAGAACGACCAATTCTAAGAAAAAACCAGCTTGTGTAAGTACAGAGAATTCCTATCAGCTCGGACGTGGACTGATAGTTCTTTTCTCCATAATCTTCTTTGCTTTGTATGCACAGAAGTGCAGAAATCATGAAACAGTTAAAAATGATAACATAATAAAAACTCTTACGCATTTTTTTTTCTTCCAATAGGGGTACACCTGGACCTGCCATTCTGTGTTTGTAGATGGCTGCTCGACCTGAGCCTGGTTCTGCTGGAGGTTTCTTCCTGTTAAAATTTAGTTTTTTCTTTCCACTGTTGCCAACGTGTTTGCTCAGGATGGGAGAATGCAACAAAGTGACGATTCAATGCAATCTGCTGGCTTCCGTAGATTGATAACTTTTACTAATTGGCTTTAATAATGGATCTGAATGTTTTTTGCGTAGTGCCCTGAGATTACGTCTGTTGTGACGGCGCTATATAAGTAAACTGGATTTAATTGAATTGTATCAGGGCGACACGGTTTGTAGAGCTGTCACCTTTGAGCGAGCAGGCCACAGGTTCAAATCCTAGCCAGGGACCTTTCTGGTTGGAGTTTGCATGTTATATCCGTGCATGCATGGGTTTTCTCCAGATAACAGATAAAAACATGCATGTTAGGCTAATTGGTAACTAAATTTTCTCTAGGTGAGAGTGAAAGAGTGAATGTTTGTCTCATTCATCTCTATGTGGCTGTGGGGTGGACCTGCGACCTGTCCAGGGTGTACCCCCTCTCTCACAGTGATGTCTGCATATGGGCAACAATAACCCCTGCGACCCAGAAAGGAAAAAGTGGGTAAAAAAATGGATGGATGGATGACTTGTATCTGAAAAAAAATAAAAATAATTTTTTTCATGTACATCAAATTCTTCTTCTTGTGTTTCCTATGTTTTGACAACACTGTAGATTTCCTCTGAAGTTTGTGTATTTCTTCGTTTTCCTCCTTGAGATTTTCTTTGAGGAAAGTTTGTTGCAGAGTAAACCAAAGACGCCTCATCCCTCTGAGGAAAAAAGCTAATTTTAGAAAACTGTAAGATGTTCAGAAGTTAATTAAACGTGATCATAGAATATTATATCTTTTCAACTTTACCTGTTGACTTTGCTGATCCCCCCTAGCTGTTACATCTTTTCAAAGAGGAGGAGAGCGAGAAGGTGAATTTTATACGACATAATAAACTATAAGTATAAATTGATCATTGCATAAAGGCTTACCTTTGGGACAATTACAAGTTTTCTTTTTGATGATATATGTGAGGCTGAGTATAACAACCACACTTGCAATCAAACAGGCAGACAACAAAAAGAAAAACGTTTTCTGCAAATTCCACAAATTTAGCCCTGGAAAAATATGAGCAGGCATTATTGTACATGAACTATTTATAAACGGGTATTTCTAATTAATATTTTAATTAAAATAAACAACCAAAAGCATTTTTATTACTTCTGTTAATTTTTGCCAGGTTAAACATATATTTATGAACAAAGCTTTACCTTCACTGTCCAGTGTTGTTCCATTTCCAAATAGTATCTGTCCACATGTGGTCACGGCACAGTAGTAAGTCCCGGCATCAGAGGCGCTGACTTTCTTAGAGAAGCTGTAAAGACATTTCTGTCCAGACGCTGCTTCAGGACTCCAGTCACATTCATCACCACTGTTTCTATGTGCGTAAACTAAACTGGGATGAGACTGGTCTGATCCAGCTCTGAACCAGTAGACACGGTGATTTGACTCACAGGTATTTTTCCCAGCGTTAAAAAGGACTGAACAGTGTAAGGTCACAAGGCTCCCTGGATGAACTGAAGCAGATGAAGGGTGTTGGATGATGGCAGTAATGTTTGGCTCTTTTTCTAAAAGAAAGAAATAATCATAAACTACATGTTTAATCTATTCCACTAAAAATTCCTAATAATAAATAATTCTAAAATACACATTTCTTTTTCTTTACCTTTTATTATCAAAACATCTCCTTTCAAAAATGTCAAATTGAGCCGTTCGACTTTTATACAGCAGTAAAGACCAGCATCACTTTGCTTAAAGTTACTAATATGCATAATAAAAGTTCCTGGCTCTTGTTTAGTTGTGATGTCAGGCGTCTTTTTACCGCCAGTGAGTGAGTCAAATGAGTACGTTCCTCCCAAGAATTCAGGCCCGTTTCCAGACACAAATCTGATCCAATACAAAAATGCGTTATGCTCAGAAGTCAGCCGGGGACACGTCAGTGTCACGCTGTCTCCGACGGCAACCGTTTTTGTTTCAAACATCAGTTCTTTTGTACATCCTGAATCAAAAATAAACAGAAAAGTTAGATTTTTTTTTTGCATACATCATGGACAAATAAGTTGCAGAAAATGTGGTAAGAAATAAACATTGTATACTTACGTCCAACTCTGAGCATCAGCAGCGAATAAAAAATGATCAGCATTTTCAATTAATACACTCGTGGCTGCAGTTGGTCACAGAAAATCATCAACGTTATAAGACAATTCTCTTTAATGTAAGCTTATAAAGAGGGAGGGAACAAACATGAAACAATCTGATTGGTCTTTTGTGATGGCATTTGACCTTTCAACCACAGTGGAAATAAAAGCAGCCATCTTTCCACAATAAACACATAAAGCAACACAAACATCAAACTCTTCTTTCATGTTTCACGCTGAGTTTCCATCACTCATTCAGAAGGAATATACTGCAGTAATCGTGGCACTGTAATGAACTATTATCTTTTTTTTTCAGTGCCGTTATCATTCTATCCTCAAGCTTCATAGGGGGAATATCTTCAACTACAAAATTAAAGTCCAGTAGCTTTTTTAATTTTAATTTTGTTTAAACTAACTTTAAGTTCTCAGCTCTGCTTTTTGCAGATGATTTCAGTCTTGTAATTTCATAAAACTATGGTCTTTAGTGTGCATGGGGGTGGTTTAGGGCTAAATATAAAGGGGCAAGGATGAGAATCAGCTACTCTAAAGCTTGCTACATACTTCATGCAAATTATTTGTTCTTGCTCATGTGGTTATAAGACATTCGTTTTCACATGGACATGTTATACTCAAAGAAGAAACTGCAGCACAGAACTCTTGTAATCCCTCCCTTATCAACACGTGTCATGCACAAAAGCACATAAACAGCAACATTATGGTTTGAATGCTTATTTTCAGTTGATTTGGATGAGGAGGGTCTGGACTTTCTGTGTTTAACCAAGTAAAAACACTAATTTGCACATTTGTCACATAGACACCACCACTGTTTCTGACAAACAGTGTGGAATTGTATTCCTAAGCTGACCAGACAAGGCGAACTCCCTCATGGCCATCACAGCCACGAAAAGCCACCTGTATGTGTGATGTCTCCTACATGTACAACAATGTGGTATCTCTTTCATGAGATCTTTGACCATCTTTATGATGTTTATTGACTTTTTATCTGAAGCAATTGTAAGGATAACTGTAATGTTTAACAGTCATGGCCATCTGTTTAGCAGAGCACAAGAACAAACCAAGAACATTGTAGTTCTCCGGCCTTTTCCACGTAAACCTGAATATGTTCTAAAACAATCCCACAGTACTTTGCACATACTCCTGCAAGTGAAAAAAGAATCTGCCAAGAAAGAGAAAGCGAGTGAGAGAAAAAATACAATACCATTTATTGCCCTTTGTACAAGTTAAACAATTTTGGAAGTTATGTGCATGCTTCTCCAAGTCAAGCAATCATAAATTAAATAATGAACAAACGTTACAAAACAACAAATACTAAAACAGTAAAATTGTTGTTTTCTGCCTCTTCATGCTCTGCTCCCAAGCTTTGTCACTCTGCCACGCCCACTCTGCACCTCAGCTCAGTCATGCTCATGCCCTGCACCTGTTCCTCGCTCTACTTAAGAGCTCTTGTCACCCAAGCTCCCCTCCAGATTATCGAACCCTTTGTGGAAGTAGATGTCCAGCGTTCATGTCACAGCTCTATCTGATCATCCTGTCTCGACCTCACACCTGTCTTCTGGAAACCTGACTTGTCTGCTCCTTGCCTGTTCTTGTATCACCCTTCTGACTATGTTACTAACCTCCTCTTCTGACTCAACGATGATGACTTGTGCATCACCCTTTTTGGATTTGTTCTTGGATATCTTACACCCTGTGTATGACCACCACCTCTACGCTTGGTTCTCTGGATTTCCCCTTGGATCATGTCAATCTCAGCCCTTTTCTTCAGCTGCTTGTCACCCAGTGACAGGGACATCATTCTGCCCAGCATCAACAGGTGGCCCCCACCATGCCTGCATGAGAAGACTGGCCCGCCAGAGGCTGTTTAACAATAAACATTTTAAACATTTTAAACATTTTTGTTCGCTGTCTTCCTTGAATCCAAAAACCAAACCCTTGTCAAACTATATTTATATTTATTTACTATATATTTAGGTAACCCTTCACATTTTACAGGGCTGTAACAACAATAACATCCTTAAGATTATAAATACTGAAGTCTAATCTGAAACCTGCATTCCACTCTGACAGAAGTCCAGTGAAAATTAGTGGAATAAACTTGAAATTTTAAAGAAAAAGCATATGAAATTGTTGAAACTGCAGCCTTTTATACTTGAATGTTCTGGTTTGTGGTCTTCAACAAGAAACCAAGGGTTGAACATTTGGTCCAAGACTAATTATTTCCACCTCAGTGGCTTCTAACCACACTGCAGGCAAGGTCTTGTGATGCTTTTCTCACACCTTTGTCTCACCTCATATTTCCTGTTTCATTGTTCTCTGTCCAGTTAGAAAATATTAATTGTTTATTATTAAAATAACAATGAAGGGGTTGAATCAAAATATGATTTAAAAACTCATAAATTAGTGCAATAAATATCAGTGCTGTATCCACGCTCTGTTGTACAAATATTTTAAGTTCGCATTGGATCAGATACATGCTAATTGAATATATTTTGCCTATCTTTTTGCTTTATAGAGATGTTGTAAATCATTTGTAACAAGCATATATTGAAATAGTGACAGACAGGTAGTTTGTGCAATTTGTTATCAAATGACCAGAATGCTTTTCTTTTTAAATTAACGTTAAAGGGAGCTAATTACTTCTGAGTATTCAAGTATTTAAAAAAATAAAATGCAAATAGATTTTAATACCTGTAATAATTTGAATACACAAAGTATTATTTTTAATTATGAAGAAAAATAGATCTAAAACAAAAATGTAATGTTGTTGTTTTTTTTTATTTAAAAATGTTTAAATAAACTGGCTTTTAAAACTGTCTTGTAACTGGTTTTCACTTCTTGCATGGTTGAAACTAATAGCTGGTTCTATTCTGAGCGAACAACTTCATTGTTTGGCCAAAGGTCGAGAAACAGCCTCACACCTTTAGTTTGTCAGTGAAGCTGCTGCATGCAGTTAAGCTTTTTGCTCAGTTTTTTTTTTTGGTCACGCTGAAAGATCAGACAAGAACAAAAAAAAGTTTCTGATGTAAATTCAAGGTCAAAGTTTCTTTATTGTCATTCACATCACATGTGGTACATATGGTGGAATGAAATTGTGTACGCATGGTTCCAGTTACATCCAACAAAAGCATAAACAGTAATAAGATCTAAAATATGAACTAAGAAATATGCAACACTAAGAATACACTAAAAACTAGTAGTACAAAAATAATACACCGAACAACAGCAGCACGAACATGAGTCTGTGTGAGCAGATGAGTTATAAAATTCACAAACATTGACAGAATTTGTTTTTTGGGTAACGCAGCTCCCTTACCTTGAGGTTACACTTACCATGACTTTGTGTATGATTGTGACGACTTGTTAAATGAGTTATGGAATATTGTGCTAAATATATTAACAATGGGGTGTTCTTCTGCAGGGTGAAAACCCAGTTTCACAACACCATTTTTGAGTGGAACTACAGCTTTTCTGCTGCGGTTTGGCCGTTTGTGTAGATGGTATCATCACTAGTTCTCTCAGAAAAAAAAAAATCTGAATCCATGTCACAGAGTGTAGGTTTTTGAGGGACCCCTTACAATGGTTTAAAATTGCACATAACACTGTGAGCAGCAGTAGTCAGTATTTCTCATGGCTGTGTGGGCAAACACAACAATAACACTGGCAATGGAGTATAGCATAGTGTTGTGTATGAATGTATGAATTTTTTTGGGTTTCACAGAGATTCCAACAATTTTCAGTCAGGTCATCTGGACAGTTTCTTGGGTTTCTTGGGTTTAAGACCCTGTCCAGATGACCTGACTGAAAACTGTAGGATTGTATACCTGGATTATTGAGGATGGACTATTTTTGGTTTCACAGAGATTCTTCAACAGAACATGTACGCTAAACAGAGTCTGTTCTTTCTTCTTCTTTTGGCTGTTGGCTTCGTCAGGGGTTGTTTCAGTGAACTAAGTCCTATAAATACTTGGCAATTGTTTTTACTCTGGATGTCCTTCCTGATGTCACCACAGACCACTGAGCTACCACAGCCCTCTGTGTGGAGCAGAGAGCTGCCATCTAGGGTTCCCAGGGGAGCAGATGGTGGGGGTTAAGGGCCTTGCTCAAGAGTCCAGAGTGGGGCAAATGAAGGTGGAGGAAGGTGTGGGTGCTTCACCTATCCCATCCACATTTTGATGTTGTCGGTACCAGGAGTTGAACTGACAATCTTCTGATCACAGGCCCACCTTCTCTAACCTCTGCGCCACCACTCTCCTCGCTATACAGAGTCTGTATTCGACAAAAATGCAATTCACGCTGAATTCAACAAATACATATTATGTTCTAATGGTTTTGTTGGACCCAAAGTGCAGATAGAACTTGGGGAGCTTGAGCTATAAATAAATATTTATTTTTTAATAACAAAAATAAAAGCTGAATTGTCAGGGACACTTCGATTTGTAGATCAGGAGACACAGAGGGGGAACAGAACATGACACCACAAGGGACAATCCATGGAGAGAGGAAAAACAAGGAAAGCCACAATATCTAAAAAAGGTAAATCTGGTCCTCTGGACATTCAAAAAACAAAACAAAGCAAAACAAAACAAACAAAAAAAAATGTAGAAACGTTTCGTCTTTCATCCGAAAGACTTCTTCAGACTGAGGTGCTGTATTCAGCTCAGTCTTATAAATAGCACCTTCTCAGAGTGGATCAACCAGTTTTGCTGCTGACAACCAAAACCAGCTGCTCACATGATCAAGAAGGACCATCAGCCTAACAATGGGTCATTAGCACACTGATGGCTGTTTACTATTCACAGAGGGCTGAGTGATACTAGCAATCACAGCATTGTAAGAGGGGGACAGTTGAACACGTAGGCCTCCACCCCTGTTTAATGATGGACAATTTCTTTTCACAAAGATGGCCTCCTTTACTCCTCTCTCAAATCATTGTTCCTCTCTGTCCAGCATGTGAACATCTTCATCCCTGAAAGAGTGACCGCTGACCTGGAGATGAGTGTAGACCACAGAGTCCTGGCCTGATGGTGGTGCTCTTCTGTGCTGGGCCATCCTTTTGGCCTGTGGCAGTTTAGTTTCCCCGATGTAAGACTGATCACAGCCCTCCTGACACTGAACAGCATACACAGTAGTACTCTGTTTGTGCCAGGGGACTGGATCTTTGGGATGAACCAGTCTTTGCCAGAATGTATTTTGGGGTTTAAATGCCACTGGGAGGTTGTGTTTAGAAAATAAATGTCCCAGTTTCTCTGATACTCCCGCAACATATGGAATGACCACTGGTCTGGGTCTGGGTTCCTCCTTTTCACCTGATGGCTGACTGGAGTCCTGTTTGGGTTTCTTCAGGAAGGCCCAGTTAGGATATCCACATTGCTCTTATGCCTGTTTTATGTGGGATTTCTCCTTCTGCCTGGCTCCTGAGCTAGTGGGGACGCTGTCTGCTCTGTGGTACAGAGTCTTGATTACTCCTAACTTGTGCTCCAAAGGGTGATTGGAGTCAAACTGCAAATACTGGTCTGTGTGGGTGGGTTTGCGGTACACCTCTGTTTGCAAATGTCCTTTATCAGAGACTGAGACCTCACAGTCCAAGAAAGCCAACTTGCCATTTTTTTACATCTTCTCATGTGAAATTGATGTATTTATCCACAGAGTTGATGTGGTCAGTAAAATGTTGGACTTCCTGAGATTTAATTTTAACCCAGGTGTCATCAACATACCTGAAGCAATGACTTGGTGGTGTCCTTGAAAAGGATGTCAAGGCTCTCTTTTCTACCTCCTCCATGTACAGGTTGACAACAATAGGAGAAACTGGAGACCCCATAGCACACCCATGTTTCTGCCTATAATATTGCTCCCCATATGTGAAGTAGGTTGACTGCAGGCACAGTTTCAAGAGTTGACACAGTTGTTATGTGGAAATCAGACATCACTCTGAGCAGCAGGACCACACTTTCCACAAAAAGCTTGGATCAGTTTTGGCCCCCCATTTGGTGTGTCGTGCTCCCTTTTGGTGGTGGGCCCCCCTGCCCCCGGTGCATTGGCGGCTTTCAGCAGCTGGGGCTGGGTGGTGGGGTGTGTGCAGGCCCACCCTGGTGGCTGCCTGCCGGGGCCTGGGTGCCCTGGCTCTGTTGGGGGGTGGTATGACCTCAGGACTCGGGGCTTGGTGTCCATGGCCGGATCCACTCTGGAGGGGCGGGTTGCCAGCAGGGCCTGTTGACTCGTTGCTACAGCCTCCTGGGGTTTCTGCATTGTGGTTGCTGGGGATCACCCGGGGCTTCCCTTTGCTTCTGTCTCTGGGGGGTGCAGGTGTCCCTGTTGGGGGACTCCTGGAGTTCTGGGCCTGGGGACTGCTGTGTGTCTGCGGTTCCGGTCTTCCCTGTGTTACCTTTGTGTCCTGTGGGGACGGGTTTATGAGTCTCCACATCCACTATTGAACATTTTTATGGAGAAACCTTATAGTGATAAGCATGCTCACACAGGTGTTTAGATTCAGGTGTTTATCAGATACACACTCGGGTTGTGGTGGCCATCAAATATATATTGTATTACCAAGTACTGTATAAAATACTTTCTAATGATGTTATATGTATCATTTTATATGTTGTTTGTTGTTGTGGTTTCTCAATTTTTTTTTCCTTCCGCAGGTCAAGAGTCAGACTTCAATGATGTTGATTTGTGTTCTCATTATCCCTCTCTCTCTCCTCTATTCCTATCTCCTTCTTTACATTTTAACTCTTCTCTCACTTTTCAGCTTTGTTATCTTCTTTGTTTTTCATCCCCGTGTCCATTACATCTGGA